TTTCGGCTGATCGATAGAAAAGTTATGATCGATTAAGTTATGAAATTCACATATTTTTTGAAAAATTTAGATTTTAGATCATAACTTTTTTATCAATCTTTCGATAATTCTGATTTTTTGGTTTCTTATAGTGTATTCAATTCTCTATCGAATGGTACCAAAAGCATGAAGAAGTGTCAATCCCTTCATGAGTTATAAGGCCGGGACTCAAGTGGACTCGACTGGACTGCTCCTAAAATATACTCTCTGCACTGAACCGTCCTTTTACCCTTTTTTATTTTTACCATTTTGACGATCCTCAATTCACCCCATCATTAAAGTGCTTTTCTCTCGACTAGCTTATTAAAAAGTTATTTCCGATTAATCATTAAATCTGCTTTTTTTCAGCAAATACAAAATTTATTTTTTCTTCTTTTCTTGTCAATTTGTCCTGTTTTTCTCTCCGATTTATCCTTAATTTTGTTTATTTTTTTGTTTCTTTTTTATTCACTGCAATTCTTTCTTATTTTTTTCTTTTTCATTGCGCGCAATTTCCGTCGAGCCATGAGATTCGCCGATAGGTACAATTAATTTACGCGGTGTATAGCCCCCCCCCTTCACTTTGTACAACATTCACATTCCCAATTTTTCCAATCTTCACATTCATTCATAAGAAGAATGCTAAAAATACTACAACGTATTACTTTTTTCATTTATTTAATCTTATAAATTATTTTTATTTTTTTGAGTAATTCTGATTTAATTCTGATGTTTCTGGAAAATTAGAAAAGAGTTGTTTCCACATTCGTTTAAGGATTCTGGTTCTTAATTCTGGTTATTTAAGATTCTGATCTTCCGGATTCTAATTTTAAATTCTGATTTTTCTGGATTCTGATTTTAATTCTGATTTTTCCAGATTCCGATTTTTAATTCTGATTATTTATATTCTGATTTTTTTTCGGTTTCTGATTTAAATTCTGATTATTTAAATTCTGGTTTCTTCGGATTCTGATTTAAATTCTGATTTTTCTGGATTCTGATTTTAATTCTGATTTTTCCAGATTTCGATTTTTAATTCTGATTATTTAAATTCTGATTTTTTTTCGGTTTCTGATTTTAATTCTGATTATTTTAATTCTGATTTTTTCGGATTCTGATCTTAATTCTGATTATTTAAATTCTGATTCTTTCTCGAAATTAAAAATATTAAATTCTGATTTTCTTTTACTGCTTCGTCCTTAAGTTTAAAAATAAATTCTGATTTTTCCGGAAACTCCTATTTCTGTTAATTTAATTCTGTGCTGTTCTATAATTTTCCTCCAGTATTTATTACGTATATTATTTTTCAATTATTTTTGTTTATAATCCGGTTTCTTTGTACACAACCCCATTTATAATAAATATCAACAATAAACGCCCAGTTCCAACTAAAAATATCTAAAAAATAAAAACAATTTTTTCATTCTCCGTTAGCAGCATTTATAATAGTATTAATAGCTGGACGAAAATGCGCGTATAGCGATGCTTTTCTATTTTCACGCCTTTCTTTCATTTCAGATTTTCTTTTCTCTCATTTTTCATAAGCGTTAAAAGCTGAAATTTATTTATTTTGAGATATCCCAAGATTTATTGGATTTTCCTTCATAATTTGACGATTTTCTCTCATTTTTTCGGCGAGTTCTCATGGAGGTTTATACTGGGGATGTTCGGACTATCCGAAATACGATACCCGGAATCCGAAACCCAGATAGTTTTTCGATCCGAAATGCGAAACCTGAGCAATTTTTTCGTTCCAAAATCAAAACCACGGACAATTTTCGACTCAAAATCCGATACTCCGAAAAAATTTTCAAAAATCTTTTCCTATTTCTATTTGTTTTTTTCTATACCCTGCCATCCATGGTTTATAAACGTTTTTAATTCCTCATCTACATATTTTTTATTTTATCTTTTTTTGCAACCCCCAATTTTGTTTATTAGATTAATTTTTTTCCTCTTTTTCCTCACCCCTTAATAAGGAGTCAAAGTTCAATAGATAGGAAAGAGAAGGTCAGTCAATACATAAACAGTAGGAAGAGAAAAAATATCAACAAAACGCCTCCGCTGTTAAATTAGTGCAAATAAAAAGTGTGATTCACCCCTCATTAGGCAACCATTTTCTGCTCTCTCTCTTTGCCTACGTTCACATAGTTTACCGCAATTTATCTATTGAACTTGTGCGAACACTCTTTCCATTTAATTTTTATCATTTGTGTCATTTCCATATGATTTATTAATAAAAAATATTTTTTACACCAATTTTTTGCAAATGTAAACAAATTTAGCTTGAAAATGTGTTCGATAATTTTAGCAAGCCTTTTTTTGATCGTTTCATAATTTTTTGAAAAAATTTTTTATTAACCTATTGATTTATGCCCTTCACTTTAGCCTTCCGTTCCCTTTCCCCTACCTTCCTTTTTCCCAAAAAATTTATTAGACCAAGGAGTCTATCTTCTGTTTGTTCCTAGAATTTAAGTGTTCAGGCCTGGCCTAATGTTGGCGGATCCAGATCCAAAAAAATGACCTGATACCCGAAAATTTCCCAGGATCCGCCAATATTTTTCCAAAAATTCATGTTCAGGACTAGAGACCGGACCGATACAAGATCACTAAAATAACGGGTATCAAAAATCGAGATTTTTCTTCTTACCCCTCCCCCTCCACCCTATTGAGAGCGGGAATTTCAGTGTGCCATCTTGAAAGTTCAGTGTGCTCTGTTTAAGGATGGAGGTTCAATGCGGCCCTTCCAGTCTGCTATTCATACCCATGGTCCAAAGTCGATAAATGCCCATTCCGTTTCCCTTCCCGGCCTCTCCTTTTTGAATTGTCCACTTCATTGCCTCGATAAAATAAATTCTCATTTGAAATTTTTTCATTTTTGATCTTCAAAAAATTTCTGTTCCTCCACATTTTTTATTTTAATTATTATATTTTATCTTTTAATCTTTTTTAATCTTTTAGACATTAACAAATATTACACAATATATTTTCAACTAATTTAAATTTTTTGTTCATCAGACTACGTTAAACAACAAAATTTGTGCGTCACATGGTCGAGAACTGGAAATGAGCATTTGGGGACTTTGACTGGATTTGTTGGCATTGTTGGTTTTTTATTTAAAAAAATTTTTTATTTTTGTTTTTTTTTTGGTTTTTTCTGTTTTTTCTGATTTTTAATGAGCTTTTACTCTTGGGGAAGGAATTTTTTAATTATTTTATAGTACAGCAAAAATGTGAAAAATAAGTATCTGGGGGGATTGTCTATTTAATAGGTGCGAAACGGGGCGTTGAATTTTCACTAAGCTTTAGTATTTTCATTTTGTTTATTTTCTTAAATGTTCAAACAGACTTTCCATAAGAGATTTGGGGACCTGAAACCACAGGATTTGTGACACTTTTTGAAGTATTTAACTTTTGTTCTCCATTCACTGTTTTTTCCATTCATTGTCTTTTGTCTCTAAGTCAGGTTAATTAAGTGCGGTAAGTGCCTGTTTCACTGCGCCTTCAATACTGCACTTACCGTATTTCTTCTAATAGTGCGTCTCTCTGTTTGACCGACCCCTTCTAATAAACTAACCCCTAAAGCAGAGGTGGGTTGAGATGCCGATTTCCGAAAAAATTTTGATTTCTGAGTTCCGAATTTTAAGCCAGTTCCGATTTCCGGCTCTTCCGATTTCCGACATCTCAGACTGTTCCGACCCACCTCTGCTCTAAAGGAAGGTTGAAAAATAAACCGACCGGTCGCACTATTAGAAGAAATACGGTATCTGTTTTATATCACTAGTTTACTTTTAGTCAATTACCTTTGTTTTCATCTTTCTTGATTTGATCTTCCTTTAATTTGTTTTATTATTTTTCTAAATTCATTTCCAAAAGTATTTTTTTTATTTTTTTATTCCCACCTTCCTAATTTAATCAATCATTTAAAACCTCTACATAAACAATTTACCGCAACCTCTACCTATTTAATTCATTTTTACAACCTAAACATTCCTTTTTTTAATCTAAACAAAACACACAAAAACATGTTTTTAAATGTCCTTGAGGTTTTCTAAAACCATAAAAATCATTTTCTTGACGAACAATTTACTGTTTATTCAAAAAAAATTTTTAGTAAAGACCCTCGGAAAATTTTCAATAACTTTAAGATTAACGATATTGTCATGAACTGGCTTATTGCGAGTGCTGATTTCAGTGAAACCGAGAATTTTAGAGCAGTTGAGTGTGGGATTGAGTTGGGATTTTAATATTTATTTTATTTTCTTTTTATTTTTCTTAATTTTAATTTTAAGATTTTAATCCCTAGTTGAGCGTGGGATTTTAAGTGCGCCCAGTTTTGAGTGCGAGACTTTGAGTGCGCTTTGTTGAGAACGAAAATTTCAGTGCGGCGATCTGTGAGCAAGAATTTTAGAGCACCTGTGCGTAATTTTAGTTTTTGACCTGTCGTTTAGTTTTTGACCATTTTGTACATTTTAAACAAAATTAGGTATGGGGAACCGAAAGTAGTTGAGTGTGGGATTTTTTATTTTTTGATTACGGAATATTGAGCGCGCCCATTTGAGAGTTTTTTGAGTAATGATTTTTTATTTTGGTTCCATCTTTGTTTTTATTTTTAACTAAAAATTGATTCTTTTGATAAATCACTAACCAATTTTTTGACACATTTTTAGCCAGCTTTTTAGGCTATTATAAAACACAAATCTTTTCCCTCTAAATTTATTTCTCGAGATTCTCTCAATATTTATTTTTTTGTTTATGTGTACAGAATTGCTTTAAAAATTTTATTTTTAGTTAGTGAGGGAAAAGCGGGTACAGCCCAAAACGGCGCGCAGCCATAAAGGCGCAAAGCCATAACTTGGTTGAAAATGTCTGGCCATTATCAATTTTGCTACCAATCTCCTTTAGCTCGATGAGAGGAATCTTTTAATACTAAATTTGGTAGGATTGGGAAATCTTGAAGCAAGTTATGGCTTTGCGCCGTTATGGCCGCGCGCCGTTTTGGGGTGTCCCAGGGAAAAGCGACTGCTGCTTTTTTTTGTTTATTTCTTAGCTTTGCCTGCTTTTTTTCTTCTCTTTTTGCAACACACTTAAAGCTTTTAGTTTATTCTTTCTTTAATTTTTGCTTTTTCTTGTCCCTTCTCGACCGAAATTTTTTTTGTTTTGGTCACGCCAAAATTATATAGGGAGAGGGTCATCAAGTATAGAATTAAATTTAGTTAGTCGATGGTCTTTATATTTTTTGTGATTCTTTGGCCTTTTTACCTTTAATTTTCTTTTTTCTTATAGGAAATTAGCTATAATTAATTGTTGGTTGAATATCGTGAGAGGATAAATGCCCCTTTTAATGCTTAAATATAGTCGAGGTTGTTTATAGCGCTTTTAGGATATGGTGCCCCTTTGGATATAGGGATGATCGAAATTTCGTTTTCTCTTTCATGCCCTTTTTTCTATTTTGTTTCGTACCGAAACAAAAAAATTTTTATTTCGATCACTCCTGATCTTTTGCTAAATTTGCGCTTTTTTTGGAGTTTTTTTTTGTGTTTTGTTTTTTTAAATTTTCGCATTTTTTTCTTTTTGTGTTATTCATTTTGAAATCAGTTTCGGCAAATCTCTGTTGGATATATTCCAACCAGTGCCCTTCTCTCTTCACTGTAATCGAGTTGACTTTTATTAATTTACTGTCAGTTAAATTTTTAAATTCTCGACTTTAATTGTTTAACGTTTAAATACGGTATTTCTTCTAATAGTACGACCGGAATGTTTATTTTTCAACCTACCTCTAGAGGCTCAGTTTATTAGAAGAGTATGGTCTAATAGAAAGAGTCGCACTATTAGAAGAAATACGGTATATTTTTTGTTTTTTTAACAATTTTTTAAAATACTTATCAATGTTACCCAGCCAATCTATAATTTTAAACATCTAGCTACAATTAATTTAATTTCTAAATTGGGTTCTTCAAGATCAATCAGAAAAATCTCTTTTTTCTTCTTATTTTTATTTATTCATCCCCATTCAGCCGACCAATTTCTCCCTCCATCCAAAAAGCAGAGGTCATTTTTTGCTTTTCGTGTTCCCAATCTTTTTTAAAAGATCTTGTCAATTTTTAACGACCGGCTTTAACAAAAAAATCCTTCGCTCTTTATTTACACTAAAATCTTTTTTTTAAAGCTTTTGGTATTCGCCAGCTACCCCCCCCCCTTCCCCATTAATTTTGGATTGCTCTCGGCGACATTTTTCTACTTAAATCTTTACTGATTTTTTGTGCTCAACAACAACGATGGCGGCGTTGACACTAATCCTTCCCCTCGGTTGTCCATCACTTTGGGTATTCACAAAAAAAAAAATTTTCTTTGCACTGTCAAAAATATCCTAACATTAGGGGGATATGTACTATTTTTTAATGCCCTCATTAACAAAAATAAATATTTTTTGTTTCTATTTATATCCAAAAATATCGTGTCTTTATCCTGCTTCTCTTGTGCTTCATCGAATAACTTTGGCGCTTTTAAGGGCTACTTTACGGATCAAGTTGTGGATGGGATATAGGCTTTGATTAATGGGAGATTGTTTGATTCGGGTACTTTCTATCCTGAGATAGGCCAAAATACAGTATTACCTCTAATCGAATGCCCCCTCCCCATCTTACCTCTGAATGCTCTCTCTAACAGAATACCCCTTGGGAGGCAATTGGAAAATAGAATGCCTGGACATTCAATTGAATACGGTAGCCTCTATCCAATTAACTTAAGTAAGGCTTACTCTCTTCACTATTTTATACTGGAGACCGTACCGAGTCGAATCTCGAACAAAATCTTTGGTTATCGAGATTGGGATTTTTCTATTGATTCTCATATGACCATTCGCTCGTACGACCCCCCTTTTGATACCCATGCATTATCTCCTTTAAATGTTTCTGGCATTTTATTTTAAATACATTTTGTTTATGGTTTATTTTTATTTGCACAAATCCTCTTATTTTTTTTACAAAATGCTTTTAAGCTTTCATTTGCTAAATTTGCGCAAGCTTTAAAAGCATTAAACTTTGGATCTGTAATCTATTTTTTTTGCAATAATCTGTTTTTATTTACATTACTGTATCAAAAGATTAGCCTAGAAGTGTATACAAGGGTTGGAGATTCCTGGGAATCTTTAGGTATCCGAAGCTGGCATGCAAAAAATTTTCGTTAGTTTTTTTTCGTTTGGTCGCGTTTCGCCACACTACATTTTGGAATTTCGTGCGTATCTGATCCTATCCGAAACCGATGGCCGGACCTAATATTTCGGATATTCGGTTTTTTAAGTTCCGTATGTTCGGAACTTAAAACTTTATTGTATCAGGGATTTGCTGTTTCGCGTGTCTCGTTTTTCGCTTTTTGCATACTATAGAGCGAGCTTGATCTGGATCCAGACGTTGATTTTTCCTGGATCCGGAGTCAAGATCAAGGCATTTTTCAGAGTTTCTTGAGTTTTCCTTGACTTAAGTTCAAGATTAGTTTTTGCATTTTTTTCACCTTATTACGAATTTGAAAATATTATTTCAATTGTTATTTTTAGTACTATTAATTACCTTATTTGTACAACAACTCTTCATATTAAAACCTACCTCTCTATTTTTATTATCTTTTGTTTAGTACATAAATATTTTTTTACAAAATTTTTTTTAATTTTCTTTGTTTACTTCATTCTTCAAAAAACGTTTTTTTATTATTTTACTTAATATTTATTTTTCCTTTTTTATAAAATATTAACAAAGGAAATATGGCGAGAATTCGCGCATTGAAGAATGAATAAAAAAAATTTTGTACGGCGCCGTCAAACTACTACTATAGCGTTATACCTTTTCCTTTACTGAATTGTATTTTATTTTTACTACTTCCTCCATCATGAAAATTTATTTATGCAATAAAAATAAATGCTTTTTTGGAGATTTTTTGTGTTTAATAAATAATATTGAACTAGGGAATTTTTATAAATAAAAATAAAATTGTTATTGTTGATAAGAGACATGACTGGGAATCAGTGATGGGTATTTGGCATTTGTTGGCTCTGGCTCCGCAGTTTTCAAATTCTTAGCTCCGGGGCCGGCGATTTTCGGAGCCGCTCCATGCCCCTCATGTTAGCTCCGGGTTGAAAATATGTAGATGAATTATTTTCATTGGGAGATTTGGGTAGATTATGGGGGATATCGATTGATATCAGAGTATTAAGAGAGATTAATGGATAAAACGGGATTTGGGTGGATTAGGAGTGATATCGGAGGACTAAAAGGGATATCGGGCACTGCTGCCGCAGTATATGGATAACCGTTCACCGCCTGAAACTTTCTATACAAAATTTATTTGCCCAAAAGTCTATTCGTCTGTTTAACCTTCTCAAGGCTATTTTTTCGATTATTTTCGATTATTTTTTTTTTTGATTTTTAAATTACCTTTTAATTTCACAATTGTTTTAAATTGTCTATTTTAAAATTAATTTTTTTTTCTAAAAATTTTTTATATTCTTTGGTTATTTTGTAATTTTAAATTTTATCAGACATTAGACTTGTTAATTATTGCGTATTTCTGAGAAATTTTGTTTCCTTTCAAAAAAAATATTTCCTCTAAAATTTTCTCCTTATAAGCTCTCACGCTTTCTCTCATTTTCCATTCTTTTTATTGGCAGGTTGGAAACAAAAATTTGGAATAAATTTTATCCTTTCTCTTTTTTTATGTCGAGACTTTACCACGTGTCACGTGTTTGCTAAATCAGAGGCTTTCCTAGCTTTCTGGAAAATTTTTAAAAAAATTTTTGAGCTTTTAAAGGCTAGGATTTGTTTTATTGTTTAAATTTGAATTCGAATTTAAAATCTTACTATAATTGCTAAAATAATTCCTATCCTATCCAACACTAAATTATAGCTCCTGAAAGATAAATATCCCCCAGGTACAGACTGTATTCCGCTCCCCCTTACTAAGATTTCACTTCTTTTGACCATTCCAACTCCGCGTTCCGTCTGCCACATTTAATTTTTCTCTCTGTTCTTTTGTCTTCCATCTTCCGTTTTTTAAAATGCATCAGGATGACATGAACTCCGCCATACTCCTAAAATTCGACTACAGTCTCTGAACCAGTGGCCAGCCAAATTTTAAAAGATTTTTATGATTTAGTCCCGGGTGTGTGAGCTAGTTGACTGAATTTCAAAACTATATAGGCATATTAAGTGTTGTTAGGCAACAATGCTTTAACTAATGACAGCTGCCATCTCAACTTATTTTTAACTTAACTAACGCCTGTTTGTTTTTACTTCCTTTTAAGGCTCTAATAAATATTAATTTTTGGAATTTACACAGATTTTTTTAATTTTTATTTAACATTTTCTTATTTTTTGTCTTAATTTTTTTTCATTTCCGCCAGCCACCACAAGTAGTAATTTTTGTTTGTTAGCGCAGTGGCACATCTGTGGCTTTTATTTTTTCTTGTGTTTTATTCTCGACATTTTTTTTTGTTTTATATTCTTTTTTATTTATTTTATAGTTCTTTTTTCATTATAAAGGGCAAGCTTTGAAGCTAATTCAAAGGGCAAAAGCTTTCTATTTTATATAAAAAAAATTTTTGTTTATATCAACTAGAAGGCACGGAACATGTGCATGTTTTTGTGGCTTTAATGCCATTTCTTTTTTTTTGTGTCAGGTCAACACACCGTCCTACCAAAATTCCGTCCACACATTAGAGTAAAAAACACTGTTCATTTCACTTGGGAAGGTACCGCAGAGTTATAGCTTCGTTCAGAATTGTCGAATCAGGGATGCCCTGCTATGGCGTATCGAGCCATATACGAGTGAAGTCTCTGGTTAGCTTGCTCCTTTACTAAACAAAGGCTTAATAGTCTTAAGATATTAAGGGAGCCCAATACCGAGACAAATCTAGTTTATTAATTGTACAGTTGGACGGTCTTGTTTACTCTACTGTCCGGACGGTATTTCGATCGGACGGTGGTTTGTCTCTCCTTTTTTTCTTTTAATTTTTTTTGACTTTTTGCCATGTTTACTACTTTTTAACTTTACATATGTTGACTTTATAATATAGTAGCTGGAAGTAAAAAAACGTGTTGTTGTGAGCTAGAGACAAAATGCCATATTTTTTGAGTGGGATCTGGTTGAAGTAAATAAAAAGGGACACTGAAATGGGGGAACTAAAAAGTGTCTAGAGAAATAAAAAATTAGTATTTAAGGTAAAGGGTGGGGTGGTAACATGAAACAAGAAACCTTTCAACCTGTTGCTTGCATTTTTTCCATATGCTGCTTTGTTTTTCTAGTAAAAATTTATTTACTTTCTCATTATTAGTTTCATTAATTATTAAAATTATTGCCAAGTTTCAAGTATGTATAATACAGTCAACTCTCATATAAGTAGAGATCAAGATTTTTGAAAATCCTGGGTCTGTTCCAAGGTTTGATTTAATGACCTGGGCCAGATCCTGGGCCTTTAGTCTAGGAAAAACCCAGGAAGGTCAAAAATGCCTAAGCCTGGACTCTGTTTACAGAAAACCCCGGGCCTTGGTCCAGACTCAGCTCGATCTACCAGTGGAGCTGAAATCGGTATCTTATAAGGTCATATTAAAATCTCTATAGTTTAGGAAACCAAGGTCTTATAACGAGAGATAAATATAAGGAGTCATCGTCTAGACAGCCTGCATGGCCTTATAACGTGGTATAGTAAAATGGGATTAACGTTTAGACTGGCTCTCAACCCTACTTTCCTTCATGGCCCTATAATGGGGGATATTAAAATTTGGTTATCGCTTAGGCAGATTCTCCTCCCTCCTCTTCCTCGAGATCCCCTCACAATGGACGTACAAATATCAAAAATCTTTTCTTAAATAGAGGTGTACTAGTATTGGTGTATTTTACAATGAGGTCCGACTGTAAATATAATTCAGCCTGAAGCATAGTTATAATCTAATTTTAAAAAATACTTTTAATAAAATTCCCCATCTTTATATTTTTTACTCCCTTATACACATGCTAATTTTTTTTATAATTTATTTAAAATTTATTCTTTGCCTTCTTTTAAACCTTTCTATATTTTTTAAAATAAAAATATGTATTGTATAATATATGCCAGCCGTTGCCTTCGAAAAATTCCATTAGCGTTATTTCAGCGTGTGGAAAAATTCAATTTTAAAAATGCGCCTAGATATCATTTACATTTTTTTCAAAAATGGAGAAACGGCTTTTTTTTAATGGATTAGGCTCAATTTTTAAGCTAACATAGGATTAAATTTTTTTATTTTTTCACAAACCTTTTTTTCATTTTTAAAAAATTTTGAACATTGAATTATTTAAATTTTATGTTTTTTATATATTTGTTTGAATTTTACAATTAAATATATTATTTATTTACTACCTGGGGCCTATTTTAATTGTCCACAGATTCTGCGGTCTGTGGTCTGTGCACAGACCACAGAACCACAGAAATCCTGTTTTAATTATTCCACAGATTCTGCGGAAAAAGGAGTCCGCAGAATCTGTGGACAATTAAAATAGGCCCCTGAACTGTATGTAGTAAGTGAGAGTTTAAGTCTATTCTCGGGCATCATCGACTATGCGACTTCCATGGCAGTTATTGCTAGGCGCTTCACGTGCAGACTAGAGGGTACGTGTTACCCGAAACCCGAGACTCGAAACCAGACCTGACTTTTTTCTTAATCTGTGGCATCCCTGATAAAAATCTTCTTGCTGCTTTCACCCTCTCCTCTAATAGATCTTAAGGCTCTTTATAAGCGTTTTCTTTGTTAGCCAGCTTTATCTTCCTTCTTCTTTCTTACGAAGTTAATTATCTAACTGGACTAAAATTTTAATTTTCTAATTTTCATTTTTCTTAAACTTTTTTCGAACACCTAACTTTTGATATTTTTAACATTTTTCTTTCATTTAAAAATTTTGACTTTTTACCTTTTATTTTTTAATATTATTCCATTTAAACGTCATTTTTACTAGATTTATCACCTACTAAAATTATTATTATTATTAAATTATTTTTATTATTTATGGCAATTTTTTCT